TTTGTTTATTTATTTATTTGTTTAAGCTGCAGGCAATATGATTTCAACTCATTATTCTTGCTTAAACTCAGGGCCTGGAAATCCAGGTGAATAGTTTTCTTCATAAAAATTCCATGTTAAAAAAACCTCACACCTAATAATTCAGGAATATTTAGGTAATAATCCTTTTATTGTGGTAAATATAAAGAAATAAGAAAACGAGTACACTCATACTTGGTGTTTGTCCAGTTTAGAGGGGTGGGTGTGGTAAATACCAGATTAGTCATTCCTAACTTTGATGCACCCTGGTTGTGTCTATATTCATAATTTTACCATGGTAATCAACATGGATTACTGAGTTGCAACCATTTAGCTGGGCTCCATGAGTTTCTGTTGACCCTTAGGAGAGCTATTTTGGTGTTAAATACTGCTAGGCAGTGAATAACCATTTTTCCACTTTCCCAAAGGAATATGTGACTTTAGCCTTGCATCAGCTATGACCTTAATTGTAAATTCATCTTCAATGAACTGATTCAACTCATTAACCCACCGGAAAACTATTCTCCTTCGTAAAAATACAATAAAAATATCCTGGTGCTGACTTTGCTCAGGGTTTAAAGAGCACACGTATTGGTGTGAGAGAAACAGAATGGAAGAGGGGCACAAGGAGAGGGCTATAAGTGGATGAGTGACCTCTTGAGTCCCATGGCAGTGAGCTGGCAGTTAAGCTCAGCCCATCCCTCTTTAAAACTTCATCATCAGTTTTCTTCTGACATGGTTTCTTAATGTAAGGTGGTTACATCCACAGCAATTGCAGTAAACTGCTGCTAGCCTGGATTTACAATAGCAAAAATGGAAGCAGAATTTGACCCTCAGATTAACATTTCCTGTAGCTCTTAACACTCTTTTTTCTTTTATAGTGGTACTTTAGTTCTCTTTTGTTTCAAGTATTTGGCTTGTAATCGTACCAGTGCTTCAGTAGCAAAGCCTTATAACTTTGGAGCCAGGGATTTGAAGAGTAACACTGCTGTTTAATTATAAGGTAAGTGGCATTTGGTCAAACGTTTTAGGTTATTATCATCCCAATCTGAAGCTTTTAAAGAAGAAAAGGGAACAAGAATTTTTTTTGGTTCAGTGATATAACTCGTTAAGGGTAGCTGACCCCTTACAGAGTGCCCTGATGATCCAAGCGGGAGCCACGTTAGGCTGGGGGCTTCAGGTCTGTTTGACCTCAGCCATGAAGGCACAGGATATTTTCATTAAAAACCAGAATTGCTATTAAAGCCAAGCTGGCATCTCCCTTCTGATAGTGAGGGAACTTTTGGTTCATTAAATTACTGTCTTTTTGGGTTTTGTTTAAAGGATGCATAACCCTTCTTTTAGGAATGAGCTATGTGATTGCTGTAACAGAGGTGCACAACAAAGGCTGAATCTGCCTGTCCTGGTACTCTCCTGTCAGGGCTGTTGGCTTGAGAGCCGTGGACCTCTGCGGCTGACTGCTGCATGGGGTCTCTGCTCTAGGCTGGGTCTGGGCATCTCAGTGCACTCCAGGACAGCACATCGGGGCAGATCTGCTATTGCTGTGGGCAGACAAGAATCCTTTTTTCTTCTTGACCTGGTCATTTTGGTATGGTGAAGCTTTTCTCTCTAGCCTGGTGGGACTGGGGCTCCTGCCATGGGAAGCTGTGCATTTTCTGAAGTCAGGAGTCCACAGTTGTACGTCAGAGCCACAGAAGTGAAGAAGCTGTGGATGCCCCATCCCTGGAAGTGTTCAAGGCCAGGCTGGATGAGGCTTTGAGCAACCTGGTCTAGCGGAAGGTGTCCCTGCCCATGGCAGGGGGGTTGGAACTAGATGGTCTTTAAGGTCTCTTCCAACCTGAACCATGCTGTGGTTCTATGAAGTATTGGAGAGTTGGTGGTTATGTCAGCTGTTACATCTACTCTCAGTTCAGGGCTGTGAAGACATAGTCTTGTGTTTTAGAGTTTCTGTGCTTCAAAAAGCAAGTTTCCATCATTAGCATTTCAAACATTACTCACTGAACCATATTGCAAATGAGAAAGGAGAAAATGTCTTAGAAAGCATTTCCAAATGCCAGCAAGTAAATAGTTATTGCTGGATTGTCTGCTTGGAAAATTGGCAGCCTCCAAATTGCCAGCAGATTAAATTCTACTTCAGATAAAGCAAGAGCTGATATTCCTTCCTTCCTGCTTGGTTTCAATTGACACCTCTTCTGCTGCTCCCCTACTTGGCTATGCTAAGATCAGTTTGTGATTTTAATATACATTTTCTTTTGAAGACACGTAATTAAAAAATAAGTAATACAGAATATACATCTCAGAACAGAAGTGTCAGTCCCCTGAACTGTAGATCAATGATGGTCTGAAAGAGCAGTAGACTGTAACATGCAGAGAGCTGATGGGTCACATGGTGCTGTTTCTCCTCATTTCAAGCTGCTAAATCCCATTAAAATTGAAGCTAGGAGCATATTTCATGTATTTTTAGTATTTTCGCTCTGTGAGTGCAATTACTGTGACTGACACAAAAACTGCATAAAATAATGAGGAAAGAAGGAGGTGGTCTCTGTCACTGTGCTGGGAGGGCACCGGTCCACCAAGCACTCTCCCTCGTGGCAAGAGACTCAGAGGCTTCAGAGAGCCGCTGAAGACTTTCCCAAACCCTCACTCTGAAGTGTGTACTGGTGGCCAACTGGGGCCTCACTGGGAAGGCTTTGGATACTGACATGAAAAATTGTCATGTGGGGAAAAAACCCTAATCTGAGTCAGATCCATTAGCTATGCTACAGTTGCTCTGTTATAATCCTTTTCCTGGTTAGGCTCCTTCTTCGCTAGCTTTTATAAATTCTAAGGATTTTTTTTTGGTAATTATAAGGGAGGTGACTTTTATGCTGCTCTGCTTTATGCTTTTTTCACTGTGATGAAGATGCAACGTGTTTAATATCAATATTCTTACAGAATACTTAAACTCCTAGTACCCTAAACTATATGAGTCCTTCCACCTGCTTTTCCCAGGCACCCCAGCTCAAACCGGATTTCTGCCAATAATTTTTGCAGCGATACTGTAGATTAAACTACAGAAATCAAAGTACAAGGTCGCCATCACAACATGGGCTCACACCGCCCCCAGCTCTGCTGGTCCACTATGCCAGAGAAGGCAGCACTTCCAGAATAAGGGCAAAGCAGAAGGCTGAGGACAGTAAAATTTCCAGATGCCGTCGTTATCCAAGAGGGAGTAAGAGCCCCTAGGTACTTCCTAAATTACTGTCACAGAAGACTACTGGAGTAACCCTGGAACTGTCTTGTTCTAGTTGTTCTTTCCCTTTCCATGGTGGACACGTTCTCTTCCTCCTTCCTTCATCTTACTGTTCACACCTTCTTCTTTCAGCTGCTTTTCTCTTTTTCTGTCTTGTTTAGGTGTTATCTTTTTAAATTGCTCTTCCTGCCAGAAAAGAGAGAAATCAGTATAAATGTATGTAACATAAAGAACCTGTCACTGCCTTGATTCTGGAGACTGGAAAAAAGTGTTTTCTAGTGACAACTTCTTAGAGGTGTCCCAGTACCTACTAATTACAGAGCACAGACTTAACAGTGGATGTGTGAAAGGTGGGAGGGAGGATGTGTTTAGTTCTCCATAAGAATTTGTTTGTGCATTTCTACAAATCTGCCAAAATCAAAAGTTGGCAAACATATAAATACCAGAAAAATATCTTACAGCCATAATTTTCATATTTTCTGATTATGGAGCACCTGGCTTTACAACCCTACTATTTTCACTGTAATTCTTTAGTTGGTAATGATACTTCCAGGGTAATTAAAGCTGCCTAGTATTTGCCATTGTAGAAGCCTCCCTTGCTTATTTCTTTGTCAAGTCTTACCTGTTCAAGTTGAAGCTTTCCATATTTGCTTTCTGCCTCAGACTGCATAGTTTTGGAAATCTTTATTGAAAATGATACAGTTGTATTGAGGAATGGTCTCTGGACAGAAGCTGGTGAGAGGTTCTGTTTCCTGTGTACAATGCCACAATTTTTACTGCTTTCCCTTTTGACTGCTTTGCCTCGCTTGAGCAAGTCCTCTGGAATTAGAACTGGGACCAGAGATTTGGCAAAAGGATAGTCCTGGGATAAAAGAAACACTGCTTACTGTCCTCCAGAGACTCGGAGGGGTTTGGATGAACCTTTGAAAACCTTTCTACGTGTGTTCAGAAACTACAGGCCAGAAAGATTTACTTCGGTGGCCTCGGGCTAGGGGTGATGGGTAGGGTAGTAACACAGGGGCTGAGCAACACCCATATGTATTGAATCAGACCCGCACGACAGAGGACGTACCTCCCAAATCAAGACACATGACCATGGAGGCCCAGCAGTCCAAGGTGATAGGATGGGTAAAGGCAGAGCTGCTGCCAACCCCCTGCCTGGTGGGCTGTACTGCAGCTTCCCTCTGGGAAGCTGGGAGTTGGTGAGTTAGTGGAGGCAAAGCGAGGGAGTTTGGACGTGGAAAGTTTAAAGACAGTCTATTTTCTCTCTCTGGGAAAGCTTGCTAATCCCTCATACAGCTGTTTTGTTGTTTCCTTCACTTCTGTTACTAGTGAAAGTAAGAAGCTGGTTACTTTGCACAGAAAGGCCCGTGTAGGTTTTGGAGCCCTTGATGGCCACTTGATCACCTGAAGTGTTGCTGCAGCATTTGGCTGTTTCTCTCCGGGAACTGGTAAACCAGCGCTTCTTTTTTTTAATAACTATTTTCAGACTTATTTCTGAGAGCACCATCTCTCCGTGGTGGATGTGCTGACTGTAGAAACTACTGCACTTAACCAATCACCTAATAACGTCTGAAGCGCGCGTGGGGATTCATTTGATAAGAGCAGCTATATAAATGAAAGGCTGTTAATTGTGCAGCTGGCAGCCACGTGCGCTTAATCCCCAGCGCAGAAGCGCAGCGAGAGGCGCTCTATGGGCAGTTCCGATCCAGAAATAACCGGGAAGGAAAGAACAGAAGCTCAGGGCTACCTTAGGGCTCTGTGATTTACACCGCCCACAAGGATATCTCGCAATGTTGGCCATGTATTTTTCAGCTCGTTGCCAATCCTCATGCCATCGCTGAACTCGATACTGAGGCTGGGACTTTGTAATTCTATCCAGAATGGCACGGTTCTCCTGCTTCACTCTCCGCAGCTCCTGCTTTCGTTTTTCTCCATTTAAACTGGAGGGGAAAACCATATAAGCAGAATCAAACTTCTTCACACTCGTTTGTGTTTCCACACCTGGGAACCCAGAATGGGAAATACCTGTCAACCTTGTGTCAGGAGAAAATTTTCCTGAGCTTTTATACCTTTCCTACAGGGACTGGCTCCTCCCTGATCTGCATTAACCCGCCCTTGTAACCCATTCCTTTTGTCTTTCTTAAGAGAACAAAAGTCTTTGTTCAGTACCTTCCAAACACAGCCCTGCCTATGTGGAGGTTCAGTACATTTTTATGAGAGAAAAAAATGTTAGTTTTATCTTGGATTAACGCCAACCCTTCCATTTTGGGATTGCTGTGGTGTGGTACTGTAGGTGAGGGCGTGGCCAGTGTATGAGATGCTTAATGATCAATTTCCACCACTTTGGTTTATATGCTGATTGTGTGTACAAACTTGATGTGCCCAGTGGGGAAGCATGAAGATAACAGAGGTAAGCATACTGCCTCAAATGCTTTGAAGACTTTCTGTCATTTCTTAGACTGCGATTTCCCAGGCAGCTGAGCTGATCTCGTAGCAGCCCCCTGCCACCAAAAAGAGGGAAGGACTTGCTCTTTTCCTTCCCCTGCTCATCCTCCCACTGCTCCCAGCTGTGTGGTCTTCTCCACCTCTTGAACCAGCTCTGGAATTCATCACTTTGCAGAAAGTGGCAGAAAAACTATCCAGGTTTGTTTGGTTTTGTTGGGTTAGTTTTCTGCTGCTGTCTCAAGTTTAATTAGCTAATAAAGAGGTTTGATGAAAACCAGAGCTGATCCAAAGAAAACAACAAGAGTTTGTCACTTGAATCAGGAAGGGAGAGAGGGAGTGAAAAGGGAGAGGATGCTCTGCTCCTTCCATATCTTGTGGAATCACACCTTCCGCAGCAGAGTTAACTGATGCTTGTTGATGCCTGCACTGATCTGGGTATTATTCACTGGTGACAAGCCGTAAGTGCTGTGATGTGGATTTGCATGATGCAGACATGACCGACTCTTGTTTCAGTTAATTTCTATCTTCCCAATGAACTGTGCAAATGCCAGGATATCTGTGCCGGTGACATGTAGTGAGTTCTACCTAGGTCACTTGCACCTGAGCTGCACTTTGCTGTCTGGAGGCACTTTAGGGCCTGATGACAGTCTGTCTGCCATGAAGTAGTCTGTCTGTAAATGAATCACAGGAGGTCACAACTGCCACCTGAGTTATACAAACCATTCCCTTCACGTCAAAAACCCATCTCTGATGGTGATGGGTTTGCTATGCCCTATTTGGGGTGTGGGATTTGATCCTGAATCAAAAGTGTATCAGGTGGTTCTCTCTAGTGATAAATCCTCAAGGCAATTTTGCTGGGTCTTCTTTGGGCAGCAAATTATATTTTCACTTCTACCTGCTTCCTGCTCCACTTTTCTCTTTAATTTTAGTTCTATTTTTTGCTCTGTTTTTATTTAATCTCTAAGCTTTGGATCTCAGTCTTTCCGGTGGTGTCTGTAGGAACAACTGGCAAAGTCAGCAGCAATGACTCATTTAGCAGGAACAACAGCTTTGCTGAGACATAATAGGTTTGCTTCATTTATTTCCTCAAAGTAGGGCAATGTTTTTGGGGTGGGTGGTTTTTTTTATTATTCCTTTAGTTATTAAACTAAAAAACTAATTTAAAGCCATCATGTCTTCAACAGAGGGCAGGACAAAAATGACCCGGCATTGGATTTCATGTGACAGGGCAAGCAAATGGCTTTCGGAAGGGTTGATTATACCTTAGGCTTCCTTTTAAAACACGTGTCCTCACAGAGCAGTTTATCCTTAGCTATGTTTGTCACTGGGAAGGTAACTTGATAACTGCATAGAAATAGGGCTACTGATGTTGCCTTTTGGCCTTATGGTCATTTTTGTTGTCGATTTGTCGTTCTCACGATGCAGGACAACTTCTCCAGCAGCAAACGGTTGTCTCTTTTGATGACGGAAAGCCGGTCTTCCTCCAACTTTGTGTACGGAAGGGATAAAGAAATGCTTTTGTTTTAACAAGGCCAGAGCAAGCAGCAGTGGTGTATCATGGATACTTAGCAGTGTGTTCACAGTTGCCGTCCCCTCCTCTACACAGAGTGTGACAGGCAGTGATCAGGTAGAACTCTGTGCTAGTCACGAGAGAACCCTTTTGCTTCACCATTGTAATGGTGACACAATGCGAGAAAACCCTTTGCAACGCAGTGAGTTTGACCCTGAACCACGTTCCTGCAGCCACAGGAGCAGCAGCTTGCATGATTAGCAAATGCATTTCATCACTGTAAGTGGAATTTCTGTGAATATTTGTCAGTATGTTTTCCAGGACTGTCATTATCTTTTGTGTCTCTGGCAGCTGCCTTAGACTCTTGACAAAATCTAGGATTGTGATGGACACTGTACAAACACTTGATGGGGCTTATCCAGGCTCCTCTGAAGTCAATGGGAGTCTTTCCGTTATCTTTGGTGGGCTTTGGATCAAGTGGTAACTTTTCCATTGACTTCAGTGAGATCTGGATTAGGTCCAGCTGCAGGACATTTTTGTCCTGGAGGGGTTGCAGGCCAGTGTAAGAAGAGAAGCAGCAACAGGGTGTAACAAACAAATGGAGAGATGCATGAGGCAGTATAAGGTAGTTCTGTTCATCATTAGCATGATTTTAAGCACCTTTACATTTGATTTTAAAATGGATGATATTAATAATCTCAGTTTCTGAAGTTAACTGTGTCAAAAGTGGCATGAAAATTGAAGGAGGCCAGTGGTGGAGGGAGAATCCCTTTGGATATCCTGAGGCATTGTCTAATTTGTAAAAAAATTACCGTATTGTTTTTTAAAGAACACAAATCCATGCTAGAAGTATGTTTGTGGAGAAATTGTGAGGAAATGGGTGAGAGGTGAAGAGAAAGATTTATTTTCAAGATTATCTGAGTCCCAAGAATGCCTTCTCCAGCAGGGCTGAGTTGGAGGTAACCAGAGAGAGGCCGGATGGAGAAGAGCAGAGAAAGCACACTTTTCATAGCTGGGACTTCAACATCTTGTTCTCCAAAGCCTCTCAGGACAGAATCACGGAAGAAACCTGTTTTGAGAATGCTCTTCTCCTTTCTCCCTGTTTTCCCCCGTATTTGATTCTAGGCACTCCAAAGATATTGCATGCCCTGTATAAACAGAATAGGAGAATCCTGCTCACCCTGCTCGGATAGTTTAGAGTGGCTAATGTCAGCATAGCAGGTTAACGTAGGGAATCCAGCGCATCTGCCATGTCTGCTGGGGTTTATAGCCAAAGCAGGTCAGATGCTAGTCACACTGTAGCATAAAAGTACCTAAAAGTGGTGCATTAAGTAACCCATCAGGCTCTGAATAACCTTGAGGACAACGATTATAAAGAAGAACTCCTTACTAGAAGATTGCAACATTAGAGGTTTGGTTTTTTTTGTTTTTTTTTTTTTCTTTTTTTTTCTTTAGCAGTGTGGAAAGAGGAAGATGAAAAAGAGACTGGGACCACAGTGTGACTTCCAGGCCTAAGAGTAGTGGGTTCCTGTTGGTGTTTTTTTCTGTTAAGCTCTGTGTGTGTTGGGGGGGGG